AAATAAGAAAGAAAAAAGAAAACACTCTGTTCTGTTTAAAATAACATGTTCATTCATTGTGGCAAAAGATTGGAAAATAAGAGAGTAAAAATGCTATTCAGATAAAACTGTTGACATTTAGATTTGCCTTTTCCTCTTGGTTTTTCTTTAAATATTGGGCATATAACATGCTTGTGCACTGTTTTATATTCCTGCATTTATACTGAATGGCTGTGACAAGCACTTTGAGTTGGTTCACGCTTAGCCCTTCAGGCTCTTTTTGAAACGGCCATGGTTTAATCAGCATTTTGTATTCTTAGGTTGTAAGAAAAGCCGTTTTAGAAGACATGCAGAAAATTGGGAGAGAAAGTGGCCTTAAATCCTTTGAACAGGTGTGTACTACCACTGATGTTATACTGGCCTCTGGTCATATTAGAAAGTTTTATTTAAAATTTCTATCTAATGAGGTTTAAATGTATAATATCTAAGGAGTTGATTTTAGATTTTGTGCCATTAACTCCAAAATGACCTTTCGTAGTGACTTGTACAGTCCTTCTTTTTTTTTCAGTTTACTATCCCTTCTCCCATCTCCCTACTCAGTTCTTTCTCAAATTATATTTATGGGCATGGGCATGTGTTACTGTTCTCTTTACCCTCTCACTGCATCAAGCTCACTTCCTTTACAGAGCACTTAGAGGGCTCTGCAGAGGAGCCCAAATCACTAATGAGCATGGATGTGTGTGTGCTCATCTTCCAGGTCAAGGCCATTTTTCTTCATCCAGAGCCATTTTCCGTTGAAAATGGGCTATTGACACCAACATTGAAAGCAAAGCGGGGAGAGCTTTCCAAATACTTCCGGACCCAAATTGACAGCCTGTATGAGCACATCCAGGATTAGGATAAGGTACTTAAGGCTGGATGGGCTTGAGGCAGCCTGCCTGCCCACTCTGCACTGCTTGTGAGAACACGGATTAAAAACTATTCTTACATTTGTTCTGTCTTTCTTCCTGTTTTTTTCCTACTAAACTATAATACCATAGATTTTGTTTTATATTAAGTGAAAGCTGTATAATGTGTAAACTTAAAATTAATCCTGTCCTTCCCATCTTAAATGTTGCTAATATGAAGGCTTTAGGGCTACTTGTATCAACATGCCTGTCTTTGAGATCCCAGTTCATGCTCTATGTTCCTTCCTCATGATTTCCAACCTTAATACTGTAAGTGACCACAAGTTCAAGGATTAAAGGGACCCTCTCTGCCTTCTTCTTTGTTGTTTCATGGTAAACATAACTTGCTAAAAATCTTAATACTCATTTACCTCTTCTACTGTTCAAACCAAGAGACTTTTTAATTTTGAAAAACTGCTTATAATTCATGTGTTCTAGCTGCTCTGCAAAACCACTAAAATTTTAAATAGTTTTAATCTATCACTCATGTCAATCATATCTATGAGGCAAATTTCTCTGATGCTCTTCTCTGTAAACTAAATTATGCACAGAAGGGAAAAGTTTTATCATAGCAAACATTTCCTAAACTCTAGTTAGATCTGACTTGGGAGTATTAAAAATTGGGTCTTGGCCAGGCACAGTGGCTCATGCCTGTAATCCCAGCACTGTAGAGGCCAAGGTGGGCAGATCGCTTGAGGTTGGGAGTTCGAGACCAGCCTGGTCAACATGGAGAAACCCCGTCTCTACTAAAAATACAAAATTAGCCAGGCATGCTGGTGCATGCCTGTAATCCCAGCTACTCAGGAGGCTGGGCAGGAGAATTGCCTGAACCCAGGAGGCAGAGGTTGCAGTGAGCCAAGATCGCACTATTGTACTCCAGCCTGGGCAACAAGAGCAAAACTCCACCTAA